AAGGAAACATTGGTGAATTAAAAAGTATGCTGTCTAAAAATACAAATTTAGTTGTCATAATCTAAAACCTAAGGGGAAACTGTGGCTAGAACATATGTGGCTAGAACTGTGTTGCAGCAATTTCAAGTCTGCAGAACATCAATTAGTTTGTGAGTCATTTGATTAAGAAAGCTTTAGGAGAAAGAACAATATTCTAGGTCTGTGGTTTTCATTTAGAAGGTTGCTTCCAATATTACAAAGATAATTAACAATTTATTTTTTATGAGTGGTTTTTTTCAGTAATATATATGGGTATGTATGTGTGTGTGTTTCAGTCATACACACACACACATGCACATACACATATATGCATACACACATACATATTATTGATATATGTGTGTGTGTGTATGTGTGTGTGCTGAGTAGCAGTATGGTTAAAATTTTTTAATATACTGGACTAGGGAAAATCAGACGCTGTCCTAGTTTCATAGTTTTCTGCAAGAACAGAATTTTATTGAGTTGTAATAGTGTAATCTTGGCATGTAAACAGGTTTGTTCTATATTCAGTTATCCCTAGAGTTTGGAAATATTAGTAATATAACTGCAAACACTCGGATTTATTTTCTTAAGCAATATTATGAACATAGGAACAGTGATATCTTATTTTTATAATTCTCTCTTCCTCTCTCTTTCTATTCCTCTCTCTCTCTTCCTCTCTCCTTCGCTTTCTGCAGTTACTATACTGTTTTTTCCTCTTTTGTTTTCTGGAAGAGTTTGTATCGACTTTGTATTATTTCTCCCCTCTCCCAGTTTTACTGAGATACAATTCACATTTAGCATTACATTATTTTTATGTTTATAACATAATGACTTGACATATTGCAAAATGATTACAGTAAGTTTAGTCAACTATCACCTTATATAGTTACAATTTTTTTCCTTATGATGAGTACTTTTAAAATTACTCTTTTAGCTACCTAAAGGAAGATTTCTGGGCTCTTTTAAATGGGCACTAATCCCTTTCATGAAGGCTCCACCTTCATGACATAATCACCTCTCAAAGGCCCCACCTTCAAATGCCACCATATTGGGGGTAGGATCTCTATATATGAAATTATGGGAGAGAAGAGACACAGACACTGAGACTACAGCAAACTATCATTACAATATTGAATGAAAGTGGCAGAATCCTTGTTTTGTTTCAGACCTTAGGGAGGGAAGCATTCAGTCTTTCACCATATTAAATAAGATATGGAAGTTTTTCGCATCAGTTTTCCATTTTTCAATTTGTGGAAGTTCCCTTTTATTCTTAATTTCTTAAGTATTCTTTTTATCATGAAAGGGTGATAAATATTTTCAAATGATTTTTCTGCATCTATTGGAATGATCATGTGGATTTTGTCTTTTATTAATAAGATATATTACATTAACTAATTTTCAGATGGTATACCAACCTTGCATTCCTGGGATAAATCCTATTTGATGATAAAATAGAATTCTTTTTATATGTTGTTGGATTTGGTTTGCTAATATTTTGTTAAGGATTTTTCACAGTTCTTCACATATTTTTGAAAGATATTTTGCTGGATAAATAATTCTTGGTTGAAGATTTTTTCTTCCATATTTTAAAGATATAGTTTCTTTTTTTATGGTCTGCACTTTCTGATGATATATATAATTATTACGTATATAACAAATATATTAAAATTTTGTTTCTCTGCAACTTATGTTTCTCTCTTCTCTGACTTCTTTCAAACTTTTCTATGTTTGATTTTTAGTAGCTTGACTACGTACGATATGTTATAATATTCATCAGTGTGTTTTTCTTTATTTTAATCTTGCTTGGAGTTTTCTGAGATTGTTTCATATGTAGTTTTATTAGTTTTGTAAAATTTATGACCATTATATTTTCAAATAATTGAAAATTGTTTCTTTCTGGTACCTCAATTATATATATAAACCATTTAATACTAAATTCCAGACATGGTATGTAAAAGAATATTGGCGATTGATATGTTTATACTTGCAAATGATGATTCTTTTTTGTGTGGCTAATAGGGTAGGCTTGTCAGTGTCAACAAAAATACAGTTGGATTTGAGTTTTGTTTTGCTATATTTATCTTCAGTGTACCATAGGCTTAAATTCTTCTAGTGGGGTCTGCAGCTATCTTTTACTTCAAACCTTAAGTGCTTGAGGAGTTTTTTATGTGTGTCAGTGTTACTATTCTATCCTCAGTCTGCAGCAAGTCCAGTATTTCTACATCACAGATAATGTCTCCCTCTGCTGTTTTGCCTCACCTATATGGTAGAGTGCTATTGCCTTTTACTCTTACAAAGCTCAGAATGGAAGGAGGGGATAGATTCTTCCGGTCCAGCCTTAACCTTAGTCCCTGAGTGCCTGAGCCTCAAGGGTTGGACTTCCCTGTTTTGGTTGCAGTTCTTGGAAAGAGAAGACATTCTTGTCCCTCCTCCTTTGGAAGATGTTTTTTAATTTCTACCCTTCCCTCTGGCAGTAGGCAACCTTTGTGTGGACCACAAGACAGCATGGTTTCCTGCTCTTCTCTCAATGACAAATGGCTTTTGTTCTGTTCCTCTTGCTGTAACAGCTAACCTTTGCTAAGGATTAAGGACGAAAGAGTTTCCTGCCTCAAACCCAGAGGCAGAACTGCTCTTGTTTTGCATGCTAAAAAGGTCAGGAACAAAGCACTGGGAGGGGGTAGGAGGTTGAGTAAGGTTCCTGTTTCTCTCTCAGGGGCAGCCTATCACCACCAAATGCTTTCTTCATTCAAGACGGTTCTCTTGCCCTGTCGAATGGCAAAGATCTGGTAGATGGGTGTGGATTTCCCTTGTTTCTGAGCTTCTTAGGATTTCTAAACTGTATGTTAGCCCTCACTTGGCATTTAAGAATTCATTAAAATTTCAGGTGCTTTCTTCTCATCTTCGTTTATGGCTGCTACAGTTCATGTGTCCTACCCTTTATCTGAAGAGTTTGTTAGCCTTTGGAATCAGTTTACCTTGTTGCTTCAGAAATATAGCTCTCTGGAAATGAGCTCAAAAGGTGATAGTATTTTATATTACTCAGCTTTCTTTTCTTTTTGGTTATTATTGTTAGAGTAGGGTAACATTCTACTTGACTCTCTAAATTCTGAGTAAAAGCAAAAATCTTAGTATTATTTATTTTTAATAGAACCGTCTTTTTCCTCTTGCTTTCAGGCAGTGTGCAGTGTGGTACCAAAACACAAGAGTAAGAGTCGCTGCTTTTTCCTATCTCTTAGGAATCCCTTTCCTTTAAGTTTATTAATGTCATGAAGCAATGTGGGGGGCATCCTAGTTGAGTATGAGGAACATGGGAAAACTAGGGCATTGTTCCTACTTATGTAGTGACCATATAGGTGACAAACTAGGTCTTTTATTGTTAAGTAGCTAGTCAGACATGAGCCACAGGGGGAACAAGGAATAGGGGCACAACCTAGAGATTGCCCAAAGAACTCCCTAATAGTGGTAGAATTCTGGGTACGCACATGCACATCACGCGAAGAGTTAGTTATACAGCAGCCAAGTGTCAATCAAAATGACCTCACTTGCCAATCACCTAGGAATGCCTTTGGAATCATCCATCACAGCCCAAATGTAATGCAGACATTCCCACTTCTGGGTCCTCTTTTTTTTTTTTTTTATTTTTCCGTGGCCCTTTTGGCTCTTTTGTGTTGGTTACAGCACTGGGACCATGTGCCTCTGTGAGGCATATTTTGTCTTTATAAAATATACCTTTAACAAATCTTTTCTAAATCTCACTGACCTATGGTTCTTCGCTGTGTCAATGACGAAGAACCAGGGAAAAATGCTAACTACACTTCTGTGCCATCTTTATTCCTCTCCCTCCCCCCTGCTGTTGAGGTGACAATGAACTCCGATTGACCCCAACGGTGACATTATTATAGATGAAATTGCATTTCCACTCACTGATGGCCAGAGAGATCTGCTGATTGGGCAAACTCAGACCTCATGTCAGTGGTATGATATGTGGTATCCTTTTCCCAGCTCTTCTGCTCTACAAGCTCCAGCACTTTCTAACACCACAAAATTTTGTTGAAGAGATGGGTTGGCTTTGGTAACACAATGTCTAACCCATGGGAGAAAAGATAGTTTCAATTTTCCTGAAATGTCACCCTCCCCACATACATGGCCTGAAAAACTTATATTTTGCCTAAGAAAATCAATAAAAAGTTACATTTTCATGTAAGCAACACACACTTTTCATATAAAGCTACTGTTCTCCTACATCTTACATTTCAGTTAAGATTTTTGTTCCTGGGAAAATAAATCACACTCTAGGTTCCATTATCCTATTTAGAAAGGAAATAGTTTCTAGGAAAATAATTTCCATGTGTAAAACACGTCACTTAGGAGCATTCATTGGGACATTGTTTTAAGATTTTTGCTGGTTTCTCTAAATGTGGTAGAACTGTCTTTTTTCATATCTTCTGATTTCTCCTCCTCCTTCAACAATTTTCAGGTTGTTTCTAGTGAGATTATTCAGATCAAAAAAACACTAAAATAAACAAGTGTGGGAAAATTAGGGGACAGTTCCACTAGCCGTCATTGCACATTTTTCTTTCCCTGCTTCTTAATGAGAAAGTATTAAATTTGACTTCCCTTAGAGTTACTCTGGTGCCCCCTGGTCTGTGTTAAGTTATCCGAAATCTAGTAGTGCCAGCTTTTTTTTTTCTTCTCCCCTTTCCCCTCATAGAAGCAAAGAGAAACAGCCTTGGAAGTTCTCTCAGGTCAACTGCCAACCTCTCTGCGAGGACGTTTGCCTTCTGCCCTAGAAGGAACGTTCCCTCTGGAGCCAATTCACGGTCCGTCGTCCATAACTGCGGGCCTGTCGGTTGAAACAGATAGAGCAGGCTGCACAGGGCCTGGGAGCAACAGGCCACGCAGCCCGCACATTCACGCAGCGTGAGCCGCACCTCAGCCTCCGCAGGCACGCTTTGGCCATGCAGGACGCTCTAGCGGGCATGGAGCCCCAGGCTTCACAGGCCCAACGTACAGAGAGCACTGTGCCTGGGGAGGCCAAAAAGGCCAGGAAAAAACTCCAGTATATGAGGACGGCTCCAGCTAACCTGGTCACTCTGCGCAGTCTCCTAAAAAAGAAAAGAAACAAGTCTGCCATTGCCAAGAGGTCGGGAGAACAGAGTAAAAATTCCAACGAGGTCAGCGGTTTGGGCTGTGTAGTTATTCCCAACTGTCAGCGTTTCAATAACATCCACTGCTTTCTGATTTTCTACTGCACCTTGATGATCGCTCAAGGTGAGCCAGAAGGGCTGGGGTTAGTGGTGTAGTGGTGAGGGGATCAGGGAGCCCTCCCAGTGTTAGCCGAGATGGTGGGGGGATGGGGGGAGAGGGGGCCAGACAGGAGAAGTACCAGGTAGCTCAGCTTGAAGCGGCCGTACTCTCTAACATTCTCAAAGTATGTCTAGAATCAAAGCAGGTTAAACGGGCTGCCACTTCGGGTTTGGGCTCCTAGTATTGCTTTACTTCAAGTACTGATTGACACAGTTACCCTTCACAGTGTGGGTGATAGGAGAGTGGCCTCTAGATAGCCACGTGGAGGGAGTGGTGTTGTCATTATGTTTGGTCACCAACCCTGAGTTCAGGGTTGCATTACTTGGAGGATTAAATAAATTGAAAACAGTGTCTGTGACCAAGTTGTTTCTGCTTCTGCCCACAATTTTGAGACACATTGGCCAAGCCATTTCCTTCTGGATTTTGTTTCTTCATGTGTGAATTGAGGAGGTGGAGTGGGACCTCAAACAAGCTTTATCAGAGGACCAGACTCAAAGGTATTTATCTTTTCCCACACAGTTTGAAGAAGAATGTGAATTTGAATGCCTTCAGATGGGGCATGCATTCTCTAGTGGGCCAAGGCCCTAATTACTCCCATTACACCTGAATTCTTTACTAGCCTGTTTACACTGATGGCATTGGAGTTTGCCAAACATGGTCTCTTTTTGCTCTAGAAGGCTATGCCTAAATAAGTGCAATAAAAAAAAGTCTAAATGTGATAAGAATCATATGAGAGAAACAAATAGTCATCAGTTTATTTTTCTTGAGATCATCAAGTTTCTCTGAGGAAGAGTAACTTAAATTATGCCTTGATGAATAGGTACAGTTCTGATAGCTGGGGATGTAGTTAAGGGATATTTATTGAATCAGCAAATGAATGAACAAATGCGTGATTTGATAAATAAGCACTCAGATACAGAGAAGCCTTGTTTCAGAATGGTGAGTGACAAGTGTGGCTGAATGATGGTTTCTCCTAAGCACCAACAAGAGTAATTATATTTATTTTGTGCATTATCTCCCCACAAGACCTAATGTTGTGACTGAGGTAGAAAAGACACTCAGTAAATATATATCGAATACATAAATGAATAAAAAAGAAGGAAAAGACAAATCGGCCACATTATGAAGATCTTTAAATACCAGACTGAGAATTTCAAAAGGATACTAAAAAGCTTTTCCTTCCCATTAATATACTGGGTAAGGTGCTTCACAGGGATTATCTCAGTTCATATAATCTTATTGGTAGGTAATGAGGAGCTATTGAAGGTTTTTGAACAAGTGGTTGACAGTGATTGGTTTTAGCTCCACTACTTATTAACTGACTTTATACAGGTCATTTGGGTATAATATTGAGTCTTCTATTCTTAAAAATGGTCTGTCTCTTAACTTATCTATTTACCAATTGATATATTTATTATTTATTGTTACATTTTATTATTTTTTATTTTTTAATTTAATCTTTTATTTTTTAATTAATTAATTTCTTTAATTGAAGAAATAGTTTAAATTTTTTTCTCCTGTCTACCTCCTCCCTCCCCATTTCCCCTGACACTCTGGTAACCACTAGTCCATTGCCCATGTATTGTTACATTTTAAACAATTTTGAAATAATTTCGAACATATGGAAAGGGTGCAAAGGCAATGCAAAGAATTTCTGAGTCACCTTCACCCAGATTCCCTAGTTGGTTATATTTTACCACATTTGTTCTTCCACCTTTTCTTTCCCTGTACAAATAGATTTTTTCAGACATGGTGCCCCATTACTGTTAAATACTCCCGTATGCATCTTTCCAAAGTGAGGACATATAACCACCATCCACCCCTCCCAGTCAGGACCATCAGTGCAACACTACCATCAAACTATGAATTGGTGGCTTCACTCTCAGTAGTGTCTCGTTTCTGTTTTGATACAAAATTCTATCCAGGAACACATGTTGCATTTAGTCATCATATTTTAGACTTCTTTAATTTTCAACATTTCTTTATTCTCCACCCCCCCCATCTAGTTTATGTCCATGCAAGTCTTAAAGTATATGGGTTTTTCATTCTATATGTTGAACTTCAAGCTAGATATGTTTGATGTTATGACTAGATTGAGGCCATGCTTGGCTTACTGCCTGCCTCTCTCCCTCCCTCACTCCCCACAATTTGTGGTTTGTCTTTTCATCTTCTTGCCTGTGTCCTTTTGATGAAAAAAGTGTTCAGTTTTATTGAAGTTCAATTTAATTTTTTAAAGGTTCATTTTTTTTTTTTTTGGTTTCTATGTAAAGAAGTATTGCCTAAGTCAGTGTCATAAAGATTTTCTTTTTTGTTGTCTTCTATGGTTTAACTCTTATGATTAGGTCTCTGATCTATTTTGAATAAATTTTTGTGTATGGAAAGGGTCAAGGTTCATTTTTTCCATATAGAACATTTTTCCCAGCATAATTAATGAAAAAACTGTCTTTTATCCCATTGAAATACCTTGACACTTTTTTTAGAAATTCTGATCTCTTTCTGCATCTATTTCTAGCCTCTGCATTCTGTTCTATTGACCTAACATGTCTTATACTTATACAAATATTATAATACATTGGTTTCTGTGGCTTTATTATATGTACTGGAATTAGGAGTTTTTCTGACTTTGTTATTTTCAAAAGTTGTTTTGGCTATTCTAGATATTGTGCCTTTCCACATTAATTTTAGAACTAATTTGTTGATTTCTATAAAAATTTACCGGGATGTTAACTGGATTTCTTTGGTTCTATTGATCTGGAGTAAATTGACATCTTAACAATGTTGAGTGTTTTGATGCCTGACCATAGTATATCTCTATTTTGTTCTTCTATTCTTCAACTTTGTTAAATTAATGTATTAGTTATAGGAGTCTTTTGGCAGATTCCTTAGGATTTTTTACATACATGATCATGTCATCTCTGAATCAGGACAGTATTACTTCTTTATTTTCTTACTGTATGCTTTTATTTCTTTTTCTTGTTTTGTTAAACTGATTAGGACCTCCAGTACAATGTTGAATAGAAATTCTGAAAAAGGAAGTTCATTTATTTTTCCCAATTTTAGCTGTAAATTATTTAGCCTTTCAACAATTAAGTATGTTTTTCGTAGGTGCTCTTTACCAGTTTGCAGATGTTCTCTTTTATTCTTGGTTGAAAATTTGTCATGAATTGGTATTGAATTTTATCAAGTGTTTTTTTTTTTTTTCTGTATCAAGACCATTATATGGCTTTTCTTAATTATTTTATTAACATTATATATTGCATTCTTTTATTTTTGATTATTTTATATTTAACCAGCCTTGCATTTTGAAATAAACCCTTATTACTAGATTGTTGTCTTTTTATATGTTGCTGGATTCAATTTGCCAAAATTTTGTTATGTCCTCTTTAACAATGTCTGGATTTTAGCCCTTTAGTGTTCGATATCAGCCCTAGAGGAAGTGACTTTTCCTTATACTGGCTATTTCTATGTTCTTTAGCATTCTTTTTACTTTTTACTAGCTAATTCTTTGTTACTTTACTCCGTACTATATACGGAGTTAATAATTCTTTACATCCTTGTTCAAATTACTGTGTGGTTTCTCCTGAATGGATCCAGACTGTTATGGAATTGGTATCAGGAGTGGTGCCAGAAGATATACCCATTAATATGGGATTTTAGGATTGGTTTTATTATGCCTTTAATCTTGAGTGAAGTGCTGAGCTCTTTGCCAATGGGAAATGGATAGTAATTCTTGGCATACACTGGCATCATAATTCATCAAGCTATCACCCAAGCTTGTTTGAGATGAAGTATCAACTGAAGCATCTGCCTTAAAAGGTCAAGTGGCAGCTGCATTTTACCTTATGGTAGTATTGATGACTATAAGGACTCTTGTGTCATGTAGAATCTTTTCAGTGCTCTTAAGTGCTTATGAAGAAAGATGGCAAACTCAGCTCAAGTCATAATATGAGAATTCGATCAAATCTCGTCAAAGCCCTAAAGTAAGCTCTCATTTTATTTTAACTGTAGAGCTGATGTTTCTGGAAATCAAACACAAAATTTAAATGTATGGATTGATGAGTTATAATGACAGTTGAATTTACGATCTTATCTAGTTTGCCTTGTGTCTTTGCCTCACATGTATACGGGAAGACTTGTTAATTTTTCAGTCTGTTCAGTTTGTAACTTGTTAGGGCGGAATGGTGACTTCTAAGCTCCTTACATATGAGCTGGAACTGTATATAAGTTTTCGTGTGGACATATATTTTCATTTTTCTGGATTTTATAACCTAGGAGTAGAATTGTGGGTCATATGGTAACTCTTATTAACTTTAAAATTATGCTGTAGGTTTTTCCATATATGTTTTTCCATATATACTTTGTGAGTTTGAAAACACTGCCTTCTATTCCTAGTTAATTGAGTATTTTTATTGTGAAATTGTGTTGGATTTTGTCAAATGCTTTTTCTGCATTTTGATGTTCATGTGATGTTTGTCCTTTATCATATTAATATAGTGAGTTGTAATTTATTTATTTTCACATATTGGTATAAAATTAAAGGAGGCCTATGGCTTTGCACATTTATATTTGGTGAAACATTCAAAATAATCATAAAAACAACTTATTTGAAGAGTTTTGTCTTGTAAAATATTTGTCCAAGAAAGATTCTCTAAATGGAGAATTTTGGCCAAAATAGTTCCGTACAAAAACAGAACTAAAACATTATTTAGTAGTGTTTTCTTTGAGGTTACTAGATACACATTTGTAGAGAATGTTTTCTCAATTAAAATATGATCTACAATGAAGAGTCATTTGGAGGCCTTAACAACTTCAAATTTATTAACTATTATGTTGGCCGTCCCTAAGACATCACTCAGACTGAATGATTCGCTAGAAGGACTCAAGACTCAAAGAAAGATATTATATTAATGGTATGATTTATTAGAGTGAAAGGATACAGATTAAAATCAGCAAAAGGAACAGGCACATGGGACAAAGTATAGAAGAAACCAGATCTAAGCTTCCATGTGTCCTTTCCCAGTAGAATCACATGGAAGTCACATGCTTAATTCTTTCAGTAACAATGTGTGATAATACATGCTAAGAGTTGCCAAACAAGGAAGCTCATATAAGCCTTGGTGTTTAGAATATTTTTTGGGGGGGAGTGGGGATGAGTAGGGTCAGTCATATGTAGGATCTATGTGACTAACCTCAGCTAATCAGACTCCATTACCCGCTCACCCCTCAACACACACAAAAAAGGCATTTACCATAAATCATACTGTTAGCATAAACCATCTAATCAAACTAATATAGCATTGTTAAAGGCCTCAGACACACAACAATACGTGCTCACCTTAAATTACCTTGTTAGTATAAAGTAATCTAGTTGGTACTGTGGGGCCCGAGGCTTCAGGCATATAAAAGCACTCTTGTCAGGCAGAATATTCAAGAGGTCAGAGTCATTCCCAGGAGCCAACCAAAGGCCAGTCTTGAAGATAGGTCTTTTTTGAGCAATGAAAGCCTGCTGAATTTAACCCTTTGCTACAGAACTATAAAAAGCAACTCTAATGAATTGCAGCTTATTTCATGAGAACAATTAGAAATGAGATCATATTAAAAATATATTCTTTATAAAAATATCAATAACATTTTATTAGAGATAAGTATGCCTAAGAAATTAGTTAAAGTATATATGTATCAAAAATAATATTATTTTTTAAAATATTATGATGTATAAATATAAAGAAGTTTGAAAAGTTTTTGACTAAACTTTTAGCTTCACCAGTGTAAAAACCTAATTTGTCTATACATTACAAAAATATAATTTTTGATGTAGTACTCCATACCAAGCACTGAACCAGGAAAAAACAAACAAATCATAGGAACCTGTAATTGGTTATCTAACCTGACTGGGCTTGAAAATAGTACGCTGGACATCCACAGTGTGTAGTGACAAAAGAGTTATTCAGAATGTTGCCTGAAATAAAGTTCTTATAGAAGATAAGACTTTGGGAGACCAACAGCTTCTGCAATTGACTCCTATGGTGGAACTTTAGACTGTAGACATTCTAAGGTTGACTCGTTGCTTCTAACTGCACTGGATAGTTTACAGAAAGAAAATGAGAAGTTTAGGGCATGATTAGAAAATGTGTGAGTTTCTCTGATGGTTGTATGAGTCTCATTACTCTTAGCTATGTATTGCATATTTTAAATAGTATCAACCCTAATTCATGGTTGTAGAATTACAACACGAGTTGAATTCACAGATTCACTAGATCACTTATGTGAGAGTTGGGGCATTGATTGGAGAGGAGTAGGACCCTGAAAACTGGGATAAAGACATTTGGGTGGAATTCAATGAATCTGAGAACCATAAACCCTGAAATCTTGAATCTGCTTTCCCAGTAGGAGAAACTATTCCTCCTGTGACTGATGAAAAAGCAATTCCCTGTGTGAAGATGCTGACTTTATCTCACCTGAGCTAAGGGAATTCTGATTGCCCTCAGACCCCACCCCTCACCCCTTATTGCTGCCAGACCCATAACTGGAATCAGATCCCAGCCTTCCCAGGATGACTAACATAAAGTGTGTTCTGAGAGATAATGCTGTATCCCAAAAATCTGCCTGGCAATTCAGTGATGTCTTTAGGGACCAATTGGTTTGGAGTGTGCCGGTCTGCTTCTTCTAAAATGAAAAAAAGGTTTCTTCATTTGTACCACTCGCTTCTGAGAAAAAGACATAATCTTTGGTGCCTGTGGTTTTTGAAAGTGGAATTATGCTATGGTAGTATTGTAGTTCCACTCAGGGGAGGCCCTAAAAAAGAGGAAAAAGGAAATCCTCCCAGTGGGAAGAATGTCGAGCAGTACATCTGATTGTCTGTATTCCCTATATATCATGCTGCCATTGCCTAAAGAGTTGACCATTTGGTGAGTAGGAGGGCTGGGTAAGTAATATGTCTGTCTGAATGGGCAGAGTTGTCCAATGTGAATGTTCACCAAAGAACTGCATTTCAGAGGAAGCTCTCAATAATGAGGTAGATAGATAACCATCCTATGAATATAAGCCAGCCTCTTTCCCAGCCATTGTATGTCTTGTTCAATGAGCTCATGTTTATAGTGACAATTGCATCAAGAACGGAGGTTATACAAGAGCTGAATGCATGGATTTATTTTCACCAGATCTGATCTGACTGTTGCACTGCTGAATGTACTGCTGAGGATAAGTCAACACAATCCAAGAAATTCCCTGGTGAAATCAATTAGCTACCTGGGGGCAAGTTGATTACATCATCTGCTTCTGTTATGGAGCAGGCTACAATTTCTTCTCACAGAAATAAATACTTGTTTTGGATATAGGTTTTTTTGAATCACTATGGTCTACCAGAACAATTATACCTGGACTTAATGAATGCCTTATACACATCATGATCATCTTATTATCACATTGCTTTTAATAAAGGAATGCATCTATAGCAAAAGAAGTACATCAGGAAATTCATGTTCATGGAATTCACTGACCTTACTATATATCTCAATAACCAGAAACTCTGGGTCTTATGTAATTATAATGCCTTATTGAAGACTCAGATAGGGCTCCAGCTAGGAGACAACAATCAAAAAGTTTGGGATGCTGTCCCATAGGGTGAAGTGTATGCTTTGAAGTAGCAATCTATATATACTGCGTGAAATCAAGAGGTAGAAGAGGGAGTGAATAGTGGAATAAGGAAGTTATGAATGTCAACTGTGTATTATAACCATTTAGAGAAATAAAAACTGTAGCAACTATACATTTTTCTCTTGTTTTATGTGCACACACTCACATATATACACAAGAGTATATATATATGTGTGTGTCCCGATTTTTTTTCTCACCTTCTCTCCCTTACTATTTTATAAAAGAATTGTGGGTGATAATGTTACAACTTCATCTCTGTATTACAGGATATTTCCGAATTAGAAAGGGAATTAATACCGCAACCCGAGATGTACACAGTTACAAGATGTTTCTCGCCTTGGCCTTTATCCTCCTTGGCTACATCTAAAAAGAGAGTTGAAAATTCTGCTCTTGGATGCAGCAAAAGTTTTTGCTTGTTTTCTGCTGCTTTTGGTCTATTAAACTGTTGTGGTTCTAAGCAGGACTTATGATATATTTTATAATACAGTTCCCTCACAAACTTAGGCCTATGATGTGTTTGCTTAATTATTTATTTATACATTTTATACCTCTTTATACCATTTGTACATTTGCAATTTAGTTTTTATGTTTAAAAAAAAAATCCATTCAGGTTTGTGATTTAACCAGAAGGATTAACATTATTTTGAGATGGACATGGCGACTGATTGGACTGTGTGTCTCCCTTTTTTGGGGCAAGAGTGAGAAGGTCTTTGTAAGAATAACATGAAACATGTTAGGCAGAAGCATTATGATGTTGTTATTAATTTGGTATGGAAGTTTAAATAAGAGGAGAGGGTGAAAATATATCTTGAGCAGTCTAAAAGGTGAACTTTGCGAGTTATTTGTCTTTTGGACATAAACTCCATTGTTGCGCTTCTGGACTCATTCCTGTTTGCAAGGGGATGGACTGGCAGCCTGTAAACTACATTTTCCAGATTTTCATGTCAGCTGGCATTTATTTAGGTGTTGCTGGTGAGAAGCTGTGGCAGTAGATTTGAAAAAGGGGCAAAGGAAAGTCTTTCTCCATTTTTTTTCTTGCTCTTTGTTTCTGGTGGTGTTTTTGGCAACAGCAGCAAATTCTGGGTGAGGGAAGGCTCCGGGACTTATGATCAGTAATCAGTGCAGCTCCATAAGCAGCAACAGTGGATGACTCAGCAGCACAATATTCATGGGTGCTGGCAACTGCAGGAGCAGCAGTAGGTAATTGTGAGCTAGCTTCTGTAGCATTAGCAGGAGTGTGGGTCCTGGCTTCCTGCAGAAGAGGCAGTGAGTGCAGATCCAGCAGCAGCTGCCCTGGCCATGCTCCAGCAGCTTTGGTAGCATAGACATCATGAGTCGATTGGTAACTATTTCCCCTTTCCAATCCAACAAATGTATTGCTTTGTAACCATCGCCTATATCAATTTCTTTTTGTTTCAAACATTTAGTATGATTTTTTTCCCCAGTTGGAGGATGAGTAATGGAAATGTGCATATGTGGTACCATTTATTTAATATTCAAGAACATGACAAACAATACTCCATATTGTTCAAGGATGTATACGTTGTCAAAAACGTGTTAAGAAGATTTGGACATGGTAAATTTCAAGTATAGGATTCAAGTTACGGAGGAATAGAGAGTGTATTTGGGAAGTACATGTTGGGCTTCAACTATTTTGATAACTTTTTTTTCTTTTCTGGCTGGCAGACAAACAAATATTTATTAGATTGTTATTTATTTTTAATAATTGAAATATACACATTAAAATAAAGATTACTGAGATGATTAAAAATATCAATTCTTCAGTAAATTATTTGTGAATATAGTAGTTAAAAAATAGCTACAATCATTCAATTAGCAAATATTTCATAGAGGTTAAGGCCTATTAGTGTTTTAGAGAAGGAATCATGTGCTTATAAATCTTAAGCATTGAGAATAATGTAAAATGAACTTAAATCACTGTAAATTTGCTTTGTAATGATTATAGTGGTGATCTACTTTGTCTCTGAAAATGATATTATTGTTTTCTGTTTTCTTTTTACATTTTAGGTATTGTGTTTGGTCTTGTAGATCTGAGCATCGACACATTTCGGCGGGACAGTAGTCTGAATGCCATTGCTAGTATGTTGTTGTCATTGGTTTATGATGCTTCATCTTGCCTGATGGTAGTATTTATAGCATACTATGGAGGGAGAGGAAACAAACTAAAATGGATTACAGTGTCCTCCATTTTAATAGGATTTGGATCACTTTTATTTGCTTTTCCATACTTTAATAGTGAAAATTATAAATTAAGTGTAGAAACTGAAGGTAAGATTTTAAAAGATACTTATTATTATTCATTTAAACCATTGACTCTAGGAAATTAAAATAGATTGTGATATTTGTCTGTCTGTATATCCATTTATCTATACCTATGATCAAGTTTACTAAGTTAATTTATTGTAGCTCCCTAATAACATATATGCTATTCTCTCACCTTCTCATAATCATATACCCTTTCAAGTAAGAGATAGGGATAGAGAGTAGAAAGAATATTTTGGGATAATTATTTTGTGAAATTGTTTTTCTTTTATCAATTTTTATATATAAGTCTCTTGAGGAACTTTAGTAATTCTTTATTTCTTCCACAATATGCTTTAATTAATCCCTTTATTTTGACTTCAACACACATATACACAAGCAAAAATACAAACATAAAAAACTTACATACACAAAAGAAAGGTCAGATATTTTCTAGTTACTCCTATCATTTCGAAACGAGGGCTGCCCTTTGACATAGGGCTTTGAAACTAAAAATGATTGGTAGCTTCTTCACTTTTTTCATTTAAAAAAAAAAATGTATTCCACAGTCATTTTCTACTTCAAGTAGATAAAGCAATTTGAAATTCAAAGCACTGTTTCTAATACTATTGTGTTAGGTACTTTCTTGTATATAGGCTTATAAAAGTGTTGGAATGCATTTACTCATTTTGGCAGCTTTAAACTGGCTTTAGCAAGACATGATTGAAAAAGGCATGAGACTGCCCCTATGTGCATGTGTATATGCAAGCTTATGATGTTTAAAAAGTATGTTTATGATGTGTATTTATAATATAAATAAAAAGTAGTTCATATTAAATACAATTTACATAATATGTTAATATAATTAATATGTGTATATACTGTATAATTCATATATTAAATAATATGTTGATATATACCATATCAATATATGAACTATATAATATGAACCATATTTATAATGTATTTATAATATTTGTAGAATATAAATATGTCAAATATTTATTAATTTGTAGAATACATTTGTAATATACTTATTATATTTGTAGAATGAACCACTGATTAAACTAGAAGATGAATTTTGGAAAGAAGGGAATGGAAAACACATCATTCCTATTCTTCTCTTAATCCTATTCTGATTAGAAAGAGTGAAAATTTAGGAGGCACTGATGGAGAGATATTAAAAATACTGCTTGGTCAGCAGTCAACAGGAGTCCTGGGAGTAGAAATAGACAGTCTTTCTTCCTTTATGTCTTCTTTATATCATCTAAATTTTATATATTTTATTTTCTGATTGTGTTTAGGAACATGAAATTTATCTAACAACAGCTATTTAGTGTATTTACTGGGTGACCTCTGCTTGGTATTAAAGAAGCAGAAATAAAATAAACAGTCTTTGCAGTAAAGTGCTAATTTTATACATCTATCTATGCGAATATTTTACTGATTTTGTTTAAAAGTTTATCCTTACATAATCAATTTTTTTACTCTTAAATTCACACTTCAGTTTATATGTATGTGTGTGTGTATATATATTTTAATTTCTATGTTCTTTAATTCCCCCCACCCCTTTTCGATCCTTCTTTTCTGTATATTTGTCCTATATTGTTCTCTTTATGTACTTTCCAATTAACTTCTATGCTCATCTTCCCTCATGAGTGGTCTGAATCTTTTTGGAACAGTCCATTTACCACCACCTCCCACTCCCTTTCTCTGCTTCTCCCAGCTCATCATAATTTTCTATATTCATGACAAGTTGATCTTTAGCCCTATGCCTCAACTAACATGTTGATACCGTATTCCACAAAATCCTTGAGCAGTTAGAACTGAAGTTTCTCCACTAGTTCATGAAAACATTCGTTTCACACTCTGATCTTTAGTTTCTAGATGTCTGCATTTAATTGACCACCCAACATACCCATGGCTGCAGTGCACTGTCACTTTACTGAGAACTTCCTAAATATCTATTATTACACTCTGATTACACCCACTAATTCTTCCAACTCACTCATATAATGAAAATAGCAGTTATTTCTTTCATTGGAAACTTCAGTCTGTTGACATCTGCTTTCTCCCTTTATAAGATTCTCCTTGTTGTTACTTTCCTTCATTTGTAGTTTATTTTATGTTTCTTAATATGAAATATTAGATTATTTCAAACATACTCTTACCATAATCCTAAGATCCCCATCCCATTGTCATTTCTTGTTTCTGGCCTAGAAAATTTTTGATCCTGGATTGGTGATGAATGTTTGAGGGAAAAAAAAAAATCATACAAGAGGATAGTTTATTCCCACAATGAATTTGTTACTGTCAACTTCAATTACACTCTTAAATGGATCCATTCCCCTGACATTTTTTTTTAGTCTACTATCTTCCATAATTCACAATAAGAATTTTAGACTTTCCTCATGTTTTAGTTAGTCTGGACTGCCATTACAACAGAAGTTTACTTGTCACAGCTCTGGAGGCTGGGAGTCCAAGGTCCAGGTGCTGGCGATTTAGTTCCTGTTAAGGGCCTTCTTATTGGTTATGTTCTCATATAGCTGTAGCAGAGAGAGAGAGAAAGAGAGAAGAGCAAGCTCTCTTTTGTCTCTTCTTATAAGGGCACTAATCCCATTTATGAGAGCTCTACTTTCATGACTTAATTATCTCCCAGAGGCCCCATCTCCAAACACCATCACAATGGATATTAGGGTTTCAACATATGAATTTATGGGCGGACACAAACATTCAGTCTATAGTACCTCACTTAACTCTTTTCTTCTTTGTTGGATAGAAAATATATGCCATAAGAGAAAATTGCCTTAATTTCTTACTATAGAAATGATGATTCCACCTATATTTTCATGTTCACATTCTTTACTTCTTCCTTCTTGTTAATATGGACAAGCTATCTTCCTGCTAAATATCCTGTTCTCGCTTGCCTACTTGGGGACTTTATTCTATTGGTGATCTTCTCCCTCTTCCTTCTGCAAATTCCTCTCTCTTTTGGTCCTATTCATTGGCACTTAAATGTACTCAAGTTCTTCCCATTATTAAAAAACAAAGCCAACAATAGATATAACATGCAGTCCTCTCTTTGTCAGTTTACACAATCTCCTTATTTTCACTGTTTTTTTTTTTTTTTTTTAAAGAAATGTCCATACTTTCTGGTTTTATCTCATATTCTTTCTTCAACCCATTTTAACATGGCATCTACCCTAAACACTGCAATGGAATTATTTTCTGCAAGCCACCAACATAATTTATATTATTTAATATAATCAAAACATTTTACTTGTTATATTTCTTGAACTATTACCAGCGTTGTAGTACTGACTGCTTCCTCCTTTTGAAATTGTAGTCCAAACAAAGGATAGTTTAACATGAAGAAGGGTGCTAAAAGATTAGTTTTATTCTATTGGTGGAAGCATTTGTTTTCAGATACTGGACAGGAATCTCAGGACTGTGATCCCTATGAGAAGGGAATTAAACAAGTTGAATTTTATGGGAGAAGGCCGAGTAGTAGATGACAGACATACTTGATTATCATGAAGTTGAAGGAACTCCTAGAGTTTAATAATCATGAATTCAAAGTGAGATTTGCATGGTTGTGTGTTTTCTATAGTCACCTTCATCTTTAAAAGTATAGGTATAGAGTAAGGAGAAGAGTTTAATTTGACTAGGATTGCAGTTTTACTGAGGCATGATATAAAAGAGAGCAAGAGATTTAAAAGCGGTAAGATGACAATGAGAGAAGTAAGGACATAAAAGAGACATAGCAATTTGTAAAAAGGAGTAGGATCAATGGATTATAGGTCCTGGTAGGTTTTAGGGATTGTTGTTTACTAGAAGGAATGAGCTGGAAAGACTTGCAATTGCAATTAAGAAAGGTTTGTAGTTATTGTTTTTGAAAGTTTAAAATGAGTAGCTAAGGTAAGTGGAGTATAAGTACGTGGGAGGAGAGCAGTTCAAGGAACTAAAAGGCCAAGATGTTGGAAATATCACATTGATACCCATATCACCACAAGTTAATGTGTCTATAAAATTGAACCATCATTCAATTTTGTCTACATTTTGAATCATAGTTCTAGAGACCTCCTCCCATTTGACATGGAATTAGATATTCCATATGAATACTGAACTAGCTGAAATTTTCCATTATTGTACTATTTTGCAATCTATATATTAATTGGTTTTCAACAATAATATTTTAAGAGCATTTGTTAAATGCCAATCAAATGTACACAGTAGACATCCAATAGCATTGCTTTGATCTATCAATTTAATGACAAATATAATTGCAACAAACATTTATTTATTATTGCTTACAACCACGTGAATTTAAAACATAAGAAATAGACTGTCACTTAAAGAAATTAAAAATCTAGTGGATTACCATAGAATGACTAACAGAAAGCAAGTTTTAGTGTATAATATCTTGTCCTTATGTATCTATGTTCTAGAAATTAGTGGGTATAAAATCGGAAATTATTTAATCAGAGTGACACAAGGTTGATGTTAAGATTGCTGAAGTGGATATAGAACTAGACTCAGAAGGTTATCTTTGATGATTGAGATAATCTAAAACATTGGAAATACTTCTATCCTGGGTCAGGGTTACTAAATGCCAAATTTAAAAGGAATATGTGTGTATTTGTATTATGTATACATAGTGTGTATATACATATAGCCATACATATTTTTTGCAGTGATTTATTACTTATGCACTTGTTTCTTAAGCTTGGCTGAGGGTGGCAACAAATATATTTGTCTTACTTTTGGTTCTACTGAATAACAATTAAAACACATTCGTATTTGGTTTATAATATTTGAATCTTTTTCACTATTCCCACAAACTTTCTTTTATTGCATTTTTTCCTGAGAATTTTATGATTGATTGTAAAACTATTACATTCAATGTAATAAAATCTTAACGAAAAGAAAAAGCATAATGGTGGAAATAGCTAATAAAAGGTAAAATATTTCATAAAAGATGCTGTATATTTGTTGTGTATTTAACTTTAAACTCTAACAAAAAATAATTATCTTTTCAGAAGATATTTGCAAAGAAATGAAGATTATCAAAACTTGCAAGAGAAGCATGCCATTCCCATTAAAATATGTATCTTTCTTCATCCTTGGGCAGATTGTTTTTTGTCCTTGGAGTAAACTTTCTTAATGACAATGTTGACACATACTCAGCTGGAATTTATTTAGGCAAGTTTATTTTTCCTTCTAATATAATTAACCCATCCTGAATTTTTATTGAGCTTCTATATTTTGGTGTGCATATCTAAACTGATATGTAAGTGGTAATTATTGGCCCTTATAATAGCATTGTAATAGATAACTGGTATGCTTAACTTCAAAATCACATTGAGCCTCTCAATTCGGAGGAGCTGCTTGAGATTTGGAATTGTAGACAAATCATCTAAAAGTCACTCTAAAAGATATAGAGCAAAAGGAAAAATATATTCTTAAGTAATAAAAACTATACTCTTTCCATATATATTGCATATTTATATAAATATTTGTCATATCAAATTATGTAGGCCACAGTTCATTTCACTAGGAAAGAAATGTCAAAATCACCAGATTGAATTGCTTGAGTAATTGCATGTTTGAATTTTGGGGCTATATGTGGGAAGTTGGCTGCCACCATTTCCATAAGGGGATGGAAATATTGTTTTATGTCTCCTCGGTACTAGATTCAGTGTGGCATTGGAATAATAATCATTTAAAGTTGTTTTTCTATCTTATCATGAAGTCGACTTAAAAGAAAATAGCATTTTACACCAAAATAATAATTTTTTCACCAGAAATAAGGAAATTTATGCCAATACACTAAAATAAATGATATTTATGTTTGATTTTAGAAAATATTTTTGCAATGATTTATTAGTTTTTGATATCAGCTATCCTAACAGGTGTGAAGTGATATTGTGGTTTTTAGTTTCATTTTCCTGATGATTAGTGATGTTATTAGTCTTCACTGAGGGTGGCAACAAGTATGTTGTTTTACTTTTGGTTCTACTGAATAGTGATTAAAACACATGTCTATATACTGTGGAGAGAATCTTGCTTTATTGCCACTTCCTGTTGCCTTGGCAGCTAAGGTGAAAGATGCAAGGGTATCATTATATAATGTTATATATGGTATCATTATAAAGTATCATCTTGTTTTCGTATCACTAATTAAGTGAAATAAGGTATATTGAATTTATATTGAATATAAATATATTTACTTACATTAAATATATAGATTAAATAAGGTACAGTGACTTATATAGTTAAATTACCTGAGTTTCTCTAATATATGCAGTGGATAATATGTTTGATGGTTAATTTTATGTGTCAGCTTAGCTAGGTTATGGAAATCAGTTGTTTCATCAAATGATAGTCTAGATATTTCTGTGATTTCTTTAGATGTAAATGTTAGTCAGATCAGTAGACTTTGAATAAAACAGATTACCCTTCATAATGTGGGTAACCCTCATCCAATCAGTTGAAGCCTTTCAGAATAAAGCCTGAAGTTTCCCAAAGAAGAAGCAGATCTGTCTCCAGACTGCAACACAGAAACTCTGCCTGAGTTTTTTCAGCTTGATGGCCTGCCCTTTGGATTTCAAGCTTAATTATAGATTCAAGACTGTAACATTAACTCTTATCCACATGTCCAGCCTGCCAGCTCACCATACAAATTTCGACTTGCCAGCCCTCACAATTGCATGATGAGACAATTACTTAAAATCTTTCTCTCCCTTTTCTTCTCCCTCACTTCTCTCTCCCTCCCACACAAATGAGTGTGAACATTCCCTCGTGCATTCAATATCTTATTGGTTCTGTTTCTCTGGAGAACCCTGAATAATAAAGTATGCTATGAAACTTTCAGAAGTAATCCATTTCAATGACATGGTACTTATAATCTTATGACAAAGCTGGTTTATATAGTCGTTTGATGTTCATAATTCATTTTATAGGCCTTGTGGAAGCTTCAGGAACAATTGGATATGCTTTGGGCTATGTGATAGCAGCACCCCTAATTAAGACCTTTGAGGATATTATTTTTGATACTAGGTAAGCCACTTACTTTCTTTTTTTTTGTTTACATTGTGTAAAATATTTATTGGATAGACACTGTAGCTTATAAATATGTACATTTAATGTATAATCACCATTTTTTAGAAAAATATATGTGAACATGACTGATATGTACACATACGTACATATAAATTTATCTAAAATGTACACTTTTACCATTATTGCTTGAAAGATAATTTTAAAAACACCACTTATAATGACAACCTTACTACTAATTCTGCATATAGTTTTTTAAAAATGTGGTAAAAACACATAACGTAAACTTTACAATCCTAATCATTTTTAAGTGTCTGGTATAGTAGTGTTAACTATAGGCACATTGCTGTGCAACTGATCGCTAAAACTTTTTTATCTTGTTAAACTGAAACTTTATATCCATTGCACAACAACTCCCCTTTCTCCATTTTTCCCCAGCCTCCGGCAATAACCATGCTACTTTCTGTTCCTAAGATTTTGAGTACGTTAGATACCTCATATAAGCTGAATCATGCAGTATTTGTCTCTTTATGACTGACTTATTTCACTTAGTACAATGTCCTCAAGGTGCATCCATGTTATAGCATATGACTATTTTTTGTAGTATCTTTATCTGATTTTGTAATAGGGCTAATGTTGACCTCATAGAATGAATTTAGAAGTGTTCTCTCCTCTTCGATTTTTTGGAAAAGTTTGAGAAGGATTGATGTGTTAATTCTTTAAATGTTTGGTAATATTTTCCAGTGAAGCCATCTGGTCCTGGGATTTTCTATGTTGGGAGGTTTTTGATTACTCATTTTATCTCCTTACTAGTTATATGTCTGTTCAGATACTTACTTCTTCATGGTTCAGTTGTGACAGGTTGCATGTTTCTATAAATTTATCTATTTCTTCTAGGTTTTCCAATGTGTTGGCATAAAATTTTTCATAGTTGTGTCTTATGATCCTTTTTATTTCTGTGGCATCTGTTTGTAATGTCTCCTCTTTCATTACTGTTATTTGAGCCTTCTTTTTTCTAGTCTACCAAAGGGTTTGTCAATTTTTTGATTTTTTTAAAAAATAAATTCTTAGTTTTGTTTATTTTCTCTGTTGGTTTTCTATTGTATATTACATTTATTTCTGCTCTAATTATTATTATTTCCTTCCTTCTATCATATAAACATGTATTTTTAAGGCTGTATTTAATTATGTTTTGAGAAGTAGTACCATAAGTGACTTCTCCTTGCTTTTTTTAGTTCTCTCATTGAGATGATGAAATTAATAAAGAAGATATTCTGACACTACAAGAAAACAGAGAGCCCCCTCCCCCATTTCTGAAACTGGGTTTATATAAAGGTAGAACTAATTAAAATTGAGATACTAGAAGCCAACTAGCTACTGTTATTTATAGCCAACTAACTTCATAGTTACTTTTTCCTATATGTACTACCTGGAAGCTCTCCTGAAAGCTTCCCTGCTAGCTCATCTGGATTCTTACCTGGCTAGTGTGAAGTTTTGGTAGCTGCCAGACAAATATCATAAAGAGAGAATAAATAAGGCATCAGAGAATAAGCCGTATGTTGGATATATTTTGTTTGACTCTCTAAATTCACTCTGCATATTTCTAGAACCTTTTCTACTGTCTTTACTTCCCTAGGAGAATGAGCTGTATTGAGAACCTCAACATAACCCCCTGAACTCTGGATTTCAGTTGTATTTGGCCAGTGAGAAACAGTGGTAGATGAGAGAGCAGGAGCATATTAAGACTAGGGCGTGAATCCTCCCAGCTCCCTTCCTGAGGGGTTGTACTCAGATTTGCTGTGTCTCTATTCTGAAGGCCATGGCTCCTTTTAGGCTACCTTCTCCATTTATTAAGCACTGTTACACTTGACATTCAGGCCTGTAGTAACAGCTTGCTGCTGTTGCTAGCCCTAGAATTTTGTTACATGCCTTGTTCATTTCCCTAAATTCCGTCTACCCCATTAGAAATAATCTCTTTGTCAGTCTCGCTTCAGAATATCTAGTGTGAGTATACCATCTGTTTCCTAACAGGATCCTAACTGATACTAAAAATAGTATCAGAAGTAACAATAGGATTTCAGAACTAGGTTGCATATTTGTATGCACAAATAACCTCCTTGCTACGGGTAAATTGGACATAGTGACTTTAATAAACTCACAGGTTGTAGAATAGGATTAAATCTAGGTGAGGGCAAGACTGGGAATTAAATAGTTGTAGCATTTAATCATTTGAGTAACAAAAGTGATTTTAAGACTCTAGGTCACATGGCTTATTTTAACAGTACTAGAGAACATTCCCAGGGAAAAGGAAACATTTGAGTGTATGAATATAAGGTTCTGTCATTGGGATGAGAATGAGAGATGCCACTATATTATAGCTCCACTCAACAGTGCCATTGGAATACAGGAAATCCTTCCAGTGTGTAGAACTTTAGGTTATAGTTGTCCACATAGCATAGAAGGAGGGGTGGCTTGAGGTATAAATTTATACTGATTTATAGTTGGGTAGCCAGGGAATTAGAACAAGATTAGAAAATTGGTAACAAGTAGTATATGTGGGTGAACCTTTTGGAATGGACATATGAAGAGGGTATACTTTGGAAGAAGTTATTTAATCAGTTGGACAGAATGACGCATCCTGTTAATGTCAGTCAGCTTCTCTCTCTCTCTCTCTCCCCACTCCCCGCTCTTTAACCACCCCAGTTCTTCCTTCGTCAGGCCATGATGTGAAATGTGGCCATGGTGACAGTAATGGTGACTTTGCATGAATGTAATAACATGGACTTCTTCACACTAAGAACAATCTCTCATCAAGAATATTTACCAGAATATAAGTATTACTATTATTGTATATCCAACTTATCAATAGCAGAAGTCAATGCTGAGTTCCTGATATAGCACTTTCATTGAGAGATAAGCTGTTGTCAGGTTAATTATATTTGCCATCTTTTAAAATAGTGGAGATTTGTCTTTACAGGGAAAGATACCTATCCTAGGCAGGAATCTTTTCTTTACAATCTTAGTACTTTAGGGCCGATATAACAAAAATATCATCGATTGGAGTTATAAGCAACAGAAATTTATTTCTCACAGTTTTGGAAGCTTGAAAGTTCAAGATCAAGGTGACATTAAATACAGTGTCTGGTGAAATTCTGCTTTTGATTCATGGACAGTCATCTTTTCTTTCTGTCCTTACATGGCTGAAGGAGTGAGAAAGTTCTCTGGGGTCTCTTTTATAAGGTCATTAATCACCTTCATGTGTGCTCCACCTTCATGATCCAATCACCTCCCAAAGGTCCCTCCCCCTAATACACTGAAGGTTAAGATCTCAACATATGAATTTGTCTACAGTGATTCTGCTAGCACCACCATTCAAAGACTTACAGATACCATATTCATCCCTGTGAATTTATGGGTCAAATTGGGAATAATTGTTACCTTTCCATGCAAGAATATAGTATGTTGCTCTATTTTCTCTGCTTTTTTTTTATTCCCTTCAAAAAAGTTTTATGATTTTCTTTATTGAAGATATCCCATTAAGCTTAGTCCTAGTGATTTTATGTATTTTGTTAGTGTTGTGCATAACATCTTTGTATTATTACATTTACTAATAATTTAGTTTTAGCAGGAGGAAATATTGATTTCTAAGTTTGTTTTATATATATCACTATTAAATTCTTTTCTTATACTTTGTAGTTTTTTAAGTTTATTTTCCTCAATTTTTAGGTATTCAATTATTTACACATGTAATAATCATATCATGTGTAATATAATGCATATAGTTAGGATACATAGCTGGGTTCAAAAGTGTAAAAAAGAAAATTTCTGAAAATTATAATCAGTGAGGAAACATGTAGCCATAGTGACAAGCTGGAGTTGAAACTCCTTGGGCATAACTTATGCTTACTAGATAATGGAAATCAAGATTACAGCCCTGTGTCATTGCAAGTTGGAAATTGTATCCCTGAATAATGTAGCAATGGATAAGCAGTCGCCCCATCAATAAAACTGGGAATACTCTCCACAAGGCCTCCAAGCAAGCTACTCATCATTGGCAATAGAGACACCTGTGAAAAACCATCACCTCTAAAACTGTGGTTCCTGGGCATTTCCCATGATGGCTGGTTGGACAGGATCTTAAATGTGTGTGAAACCGAAGACAATGACAGCTCTGTAGTAATCAACTTCCCCAAATCTTCTCCCTAAATGATACTTTGCAACTATGAAAATTCTCCACAAAATCATGGCCTTGGCATTATTGAAGACAAAGAATACTGAAACTATAAAATTACTGTGAGTAAAAAGAGAAAATAAAAAAATCTCAGCACAGGATCCTTTACTTTTCCATTCTATGCTGCTTACTACAAGACTTTTTGGTTTACAAAGGTGGACCAAAAATATTGCAGGGAAGAGAGAAGACAACTGATAACAAAGGGTCCTAAGGATGATTAGGTATGATCACTAGAAGAGTAATTCGCTCTTTGTCTGAGAGTTGAGAGAAGGGACTGTAAGAAAGAGATTTCATAATATGTGGGATTTAAAGGTTCAGATGCCAAATAAAGGGTTAGTCATACAACTTAAAGGGGAGGTTTTCACTAAAGGGCTATTTAAAGGGGTAGGAATGATTTTAAAGAAGAGGTGATATTTAAAGGCATAGTCCAAGTGCATAGCTTCTGTTGTAGGAAAAAGTTCAAAAGGATTAAAGAATTATTCTTCACCACCTAAGTGGACAGAGGAGAGGAAAGAAAGGAAAACCTTAAGATCTTATGGGACAAAGGGAGCTATATAATTAGAGGACTCACAGCCACTTACTCTCAGCAAAACAACAGGGAGAAATTAACAGAAAGTGTTTCATTTCTCTTTAATCTTTTTCTTTTTCTGTTTGATTGTGGCTTTGTAATAAAATACCATACATAAAGTTGAAATTTTTTATTTTTCTTTATTAAAGCACTGGAGGCAGTAATAATAGTCAATCCTGGCTACGGACTTGGTGGATTCGTTTTGTTTTTGTCTCAATTATTTCATGGTCTACATCAATACCATTGTCATGTTTTTCACATCCTTTACAAGGTGACTATAACAACATAATTCATTAAATTAAAGGATAGTAGATTCCTCCTACCACCCTCATTCCCCATTCTCAGAATATGGCTGAAAAATATTTCTTTCTTTCATAGAGATACAGGGACATGTGATAGTACTATTTGAACAAATAAAGCCTCCTGTGGCCAAATGTTATTTTATTTATGTACCAGACATTCATTATATATATTGTTGCTTCTTGTCATTTCTTTTTAAAAATGCTTTATATCTAGAGTTTATAAGTTTTCTTAGAGAAAGAATTATATTTAAATCTATTATTTAATACATGTACTATCTCATAGAATTGTTAAGATACAATAATTGCTGAAATTCTTTTGGAAACACTAAAAAAAATGCATGTAACATTAGTGAAATCAAACACTCTTCAAATGGTAGTACATTTCATTGGCACGAAATATTTTTAGTAATATCAAAGATTACTCTTTTATATCTTAGAACTATGCTGTCAAATATTATGGTTACTTGCTACATGTGGCTATTTAAATTTTAAACTAAATTAAATTATAAATTCATTTATTCAGTCATAAGAACTACTTTTCAAGTATTTAATGTCTACAATACTAGACATTGCAGACATAGAAAATTTTCATTATCACAGAGTGTTCTTTAGGATAACACTGTTTTAGAAGAATGTAACTTTTGCTTAATTGAATTGGCTAGCTTGTTCAGAATAGCTCAGTTGGCATTCTAAGACAAATTGGATTTATTAGGATATGTATGTATGTTTATATATGTTTAGTTATTTGAACATGTCATAAGATTGTTTTACTTGTTAAAATACAGGTACAGCAAGGATAAAACCTGGGGAACACAAAATGCCTTTTTTTTTGGACAAAAAACATAAAGATCAGGAATTTGGAACTAGTATCAAAGATTTATTTGCTTCTATTTTGGTAAAGTAAAATATTTTACATGAATAAGCCAATTAAGTTCACTTGTACAATTTTCTAATAGTGGGTTTAAGAAAATAACAGTAAAATGTTCAAATTAAATCTGAGTGGGGCTTTTGAAGTCTTAATTAACCTATTGATTTGATAGATAATAGAAAACAGGACCTAAGTGGCATTGCCAAGAACTTGGCTAGTGTCAAAGCCTGGTACCAAGTATTTTCCTTCTTCTATTTCTTTTATATTATTTGTGTTTATTTTTTCCCTGCAGAAATAAATAAGAAATTTATTGAAATGACATACAGGTATTAACATCATATATCCTTTTATTATATTTAAATGACATAGAACTCTAGAAGTTAACAAATATTCTCACAAACATCACATTTTATTGAAAATATTTTATCTCAATAGCAAATGGAGAAAAACACTTTGTAACACCCATGACTTTGTTTCTGTAGGTGAGAAACAAGGTCTATAACACAGACAGTGGGGTTAAAAGCCCCCAACTTGTAAATAGTAATTCTTCATTCAATTTGTTTTCTGTGCACAACTTCATTCTTTGTTGCCCTCAGAATTGTATTTCTCACATGTAGATATTATCGGGTCATTTTCTAGATTACTTGGTAGGTAAATTTAACACTCTTTTAGTGGGACATTGACTACTCTTCACAAACCATCAACTGAATTTTTCTACCTCATCTCAGAATTTTATCCCTTTCTTCCCCACATTCCAGCCACATGTTCTTTCATGGACACATTAGGTACTTTATAGTTCTGGACCTTTGTAGAAGCTAATCTCTCTACTTCTTTTTCTACTCCATTCTTTTTGTCAAATCTTACCTTATATTCCTGGGCAAAATGAGTTTCTCCTTCCTTAATGCTTTCATAGACATTTGTTCAAAATAGAATAGAAAATAACGTATATATTACGTTATTAATTAATGTCTAATTAATTATTAAAGTATATATTAAAGTCTAATTCTTCTTAAAATGAATAGGTTATATAAAATTAGAATTTTGTTTACTTGTTTTTATTCAAACACAGTATTTTATCTCGTTATCTAATCCTGGACCCTTTCTTATAAATGAATTATATTTCATTCAAATTTTTATTTAATTTTAATTTTTACCAAAATATTACACATATGTATTTTAGCAATGCAGAAATAAATTAGATATAACCTATTTTATATTGTTAAAATTAAGATATAATTGTTAAAAAAAAAACTTTTCAGAAAATTTAAGTTTTTGTTTGTTTTTTTGTTTTAAGATAACTTTCATTCAAGAAACAAAAACAAGCCAATTCTAAAATCTCTCTCTTGGAAATAGAGTGCTTTGATTATTATTGTTAGGATACAAACAAAATACAATGCCTGTTAACAATCTTAGACTTCTGATTGACACCTTCCTGGTGGGTAACTAGAAACTATCTTAATTCTTTTCAAAGTATATTAGAAGACATGACTTCTAGAATATCAGAGTGAGGAGCTTGGAAAATCTTCACTTCCAAAAAACAGGGGTTGAAACTGGCAAAATTTTCATAAATCATTTTAAAATCTGGAAATTAAGACTGTACTTTGAGAATGACTGATTTAATTTGTCAAAGACTTTTCTATTAATTCTGAAAGCCCAATTACAAAGCAGGTTCTGCATATGTCATTGGCTTGTACATTTAGTGCATGATAGGTGCCTGTCCCAGGAAGAAGGAAGATTAAGAAAGCCATAAATAACCTTGTGATATTCCTAAACCATTGCCAAAGGCAGCCAATAGCAAAACAGTAATCAAATGTGAAGTTGCCTTGCTTTAAGCCCACCTGGACTTCATGTAAATAATAATTCGAAAAATTCTTATTTTTCAATTCATCACATAAGAATTGGTGTGTAATTTGAATAGAATAACTTGTTACTCTTTTCGAAAGCTTTTTCATTACAACTTGATAGAACCATACTTATCTAATTTTCTAAATAGAACAAGTTAACAATTGTTGAAGCTCACCATTTAAAGGGTCTTTAAATACTTTGGGGGACATTATTATTTTGTGTGCCTTAATTTTTATTCTATAAAATAATGGTAATAATAGTATATTAGAATTAAATGTGTTAATATAGGTAAGGTGTTTCCTAAGAGAACAGTGCCTGACACATAGTAATACAATATGTTTGTTATTTTAGTTTTGCTTATCTCTTTTTTATTGTACATAGTGTCATTGTGCTAGGTATTGAAGACACAATAGTAATGTAACTCCCATGACTTTACGGAATTTATGTCCTTGTGTGGGTCACAGAGTTTTTAAAAGACACAAAATAAAAACAACTGATAACAACTAACTAGAGAAAATTCTTTGTGAAACTTATTATAGATATGGGGTAAAGAAGACTTTGTTGAACAGGGAACATTTAAATGGGGGAAACTAAAGCATGAGAAGGAGTTAGCCATGTGAAGATTGGTCATTAAGAACATACCAAGCACAAGAGACACATTTGGAAAGACCTTGAGGCAACAAAGATTTGGGTATATTCATGGAGATTCTTGTGGTACATGATAAGAACTTTAGATTTTATTCTTAGTGCAATAGGTAATCACATATATAAAATAAGGGAATAATTTGAACATGATATAAACTTTGTTTTAGGAACTTTTAAACTTGACTTTGTGTAAAAAAATGGATTACAGTGGGAAAAGAATTGAAAAGGCAGTGCAATTTGGGTGTTGTTTCAGGAAGTTTTCCCTAGGTACTATAAATGGTTGGGCTTTTAATTCAGCTGTAGTATATGAGACCCAGTTGTAGAAACTAATTAAATAATCACTTGATATTTATGAAATTCAGGGCTACTGACAATAGTTTGTGTAAGAAGAAGAAATAAAATAAACCTTCCCAGTATCAACTTGATCTGAACTTCTGGAGCCTTAAAAAAGAAAGAAATAGATAAAAAGCCTAAAATATGGGGAAGCAAAGGTTCTAAAATTTAGATATGGACCTGTAGTATTAAGATCCAACACAAAAGCCTGTACATCCAGGATCTTGCCATTAACATTGTATCAGGCTTAGTTTCAGAAAAAAGAGAGAGATAATGAGCTGTACCTTAGGTAGCCTACTAGATTAAACAAGTTCCCAATGGTTCGCTTATTTCATGGTTTTACCACATGCCAATGCTGAGTTTCTCAACAGAGCATATCTGTTAGGCCATGTTGGTAAAATTAAAATAGAGCACATCTTCCCTGGTAATGAAGGAGGCAGCCAGTGTTGTCTGCTAGGTTGGTGAAGATTATTAAAGAATCCGTGCAAGTAGAGTGGAGTTGAACAGTGATAATGCTTATAACTCCTCTTCATTTAAGGGCTGGAGATACTATGACTTTTTGGGAATGAGTTAGAAGTAGAACTAAATGTGAATTTATGCTTCTCTGTGGTAGATCTTATAGGTAGAGAGATTTTCCCTGTAATGGTCTGTTACATTCACCTAAGCCCAAAAGCCGGTTTGCACACTAGAGAATCTAAATACCTGAGTGTCATCCTTCATCCTACTCTTCTTTGGTAAAGAAGTCTTACAGAGAGCCAGCAGTAGCCTTCCATTTGGGCTCTATAGTTTATCCAAGGAGTAACAAGGCTAACGGTAAATCAGTTGGCTTCTTAGTCATAAGTTCTGATTTGTTAGCAGGCCTAACTACTAGTAGAACTACCCAGTGAAGACATTATGTAGCATTTACTACTGGTGAGACCTTTTGCAAATTTCCATATTTCTTTGATTCTAAGACACACTTTTTTCTCTTCACATTTTAACATCTTTGAAATAGGATTGGATATTAAATTGATGGAGTCTCGAAATAACTGTAAGTCAGGATGTAATTGTGACATAGATATTGCCTGAGTATGGGCAGAGTTGGTTATGGCTGTTCATATTATCTTTAATTGAGTTATCTACTTTAGCGATGCTGTCCATATTGAGTGAAACTGTTGTTTAAGTCTTCAATATTTAAGAGTTGAATTGTAAAGTTATTGTATGTGTATAAAGACAGAAACAGCAACAGGATATAATTTTGTTATTAATTAAACAAAAACTTCCTTTCAGAAAAATGATCACTAGTTCACTTTTTCTTGCAAAGTGACATCCGAGTATTTTATGGGACTTAAGCAAAGGATTCCCATAAGTAGAGACAGCTTTGTTGTTCTTTTATTGAGATACCTGCAAAAAGGATTGCCTACCACATGCTAAGCTGTGCAGTTTAATCAGGAAAAATTGGCAAATCTTTAACAGATCTAATATATTTCAAAAGCTGATGAGTCTGATAATTGCATAACACAGAACTTTCCTTAAGGCATTGTATCATAATGTGTAAGTGGCAGTTTCTTTCTTAGTGATACATAAAATAATGGTGTCTCTTACAATTGATGGCATTTTTAGATTGAATAAAATAACCTTTAACCTTTCTAAGCCTCACTTCCTTCAGCTAAGAATTTGGTACAGTAATGGTACTTTCCTCATACGAATGTAAGGTTTATAAATCAGTGCATAGCCCATAGTAAAAACTAAATAAATACATAAATAAAATGAAGGCCTACTTGAGATATTTCTGATTTTATAGTAGGGAAGGAAACTGTATTAAAAAACTGGAGGAAAACTTCATAACAAGATTTTCCTTTTACCTCAATAAGAAGAATGGGTCATCAAACAGAAAATAAGAAAATTTAAGACTAGAATGGGAAACTCAATTGAATAAAGGCCTTTTGTCTTCCTCTGCTACTAATCCTGTAGTTCAGTACCTCCCGGTTCATGAAACTTAGTTGGTCTTGTTTGCCTAAAGTCCAATGACTGTTTAGAAGCCCCTGATATAAGGACTGATGGAAAGTCATTCTTACAAGCAAATCATTCTAGTCAGTAAAATATATCACCATCATTGTAAGACATTGACTAACAGCTGGTTGAAATATACACCTCCTAATTTTCTAGGTGTGGATTTTTAAAAAACGAGTCTTTTTTACTTGTCATTAATTTTTATTAAAGGG